ATATATAATCATTTATATGTAAATTAAATTTTTTAGCAAAGTTTAAACACTCTTCTATAATTTGGGAAAGTTTTATGAGTATTTATTATAACTAGAAATTTAGAGCTAGCAGGGCTTGCTAAACCATACACGTAAATTATGGCAGTTAATAAGAAAAATTACAAAATCTTGAAAAGGCAATTTCATGGCTGTTTATGATTGGTATTTAGGATTTATGCTAAGAAATCATAATATCTCCTTTATGACCAAAATGTTTATTAAATTAACCTAAATTAAGTTTAAATTTTTATATATAATTTGCTTCAATTTATAAATATTATGATATTTTTAACAATAAAACAATAAAATTATTCTATACGTATCATTATTAATAAATAAAAATGCATTTCAATTTATTATGGCTAAAAAAACCAATGATTTAGGAAGCCCCTTGAATTTGCCCACCCCGCTATTGGGGCTTTTTGGATATTATTTTTACTTTTTCAAAAAGTAAAATTTAAAAAAAATGATTATATTCTTAAAATTTTTATAAGGTACCTTTATAGAGTATAGTTTTAGGAGGTATCTAATTATATATTCTTTTTTATATTATCTAAAAAAATCAGGAGCTAAATTTTGTAAAAATCGGTCCGACTAACCCCAGTCTCCCCTACCTTATAATGTGGTAAATTGGTCCAGCAAGGAAATCGGTATAAATATTGGTTGTTAATTTTTTTTATTGATATTACACATTTAGTAAATAAAATTGAGATTTTTGTAAAAAAAAATACGAAGAAATAATTAATATGACCAACATTCAAAATCATTTCTATTTAATCATCCTTTTTTTTATACTAATAAATTTATAATAAATTGCAACTGTATTAGATACGCGCCAATTGACGCCGCGCCGAATTGACGTTGCGCCGAATTGTCGTGCGCCGAATTTTCCGCGCCGAATTGACGTGATACCATTATATAAAAACAAACAAAATTTTTATTATTGTAGATAAGAATTTAAAAAATTAAACATTCAATGTAATATTAATAGCGATTCCTTTAAGATAATCTAATCTTGATCAATTTTCGAAGTCAGAAACAATTGTTACTATTCTCGCATGTAGATTTCGATATTTTTTTCTCGGAGTAGAGGGTGTTTCACCAGAATTATATTGAGCAATTTTTAACTCTGTAAACCCTTGTTGTTTTTTTAAGCCTAGAAAAAATTATATAGTTTATTAGTAAATCTTTATACTTTTTAAATCATTTTAAAATAATAGATATATAGATAACTTGATATAAATTTCCACATGTTTGGATGGTAACTTGTTAGGAGGGAACTGAAGCATGCCACCCTTCAACCGCGTTGTTGGTTTTCGCTTCCCCGTTCACTGTTGATTGGTAACAATTCCAGAGTTCAATATTAAACAAAGCAGGTACTCTGCCTCTTCCAAACGTTTTACCAAAATAAGCTTTTTCAAAAGTTTCAATTAGAGGCTGAAGTAACAATTGATTATTAGAATAAAATTCGGAGTTTATTAGTAATTCAAATGTTTCAACTACATTTAAGGGTGGCACAAACGCCAAACAAATCATCATTCTAAGTTGTATATTAAATTCTACATCTGTTTTATATTTATGCGACATTTTTGAATGTTTCGCCAAAAGGATTGGCCAAAATGGAAATAGCAACATTTGTGTTGCTAATTGGGAAACACTTCATTGAAAGCTTTTACACTGGCCATTTCAAAATCCGTCATAATTTTTTTTGGAGTTGATATTAAGTTGTCACCTATAATAGTAAATATTCTTTTATAAGTTTCATAATCCTTTCTATTGGTCAATATATATATGAAAGGTAAAATATTATTATTTCTAATCCCATGAATTGTATAAATTTGCGTAAATAAAGGTGGCGACGATTTAAATGTACCATCAGAAAGCCAATGTTCGCATGAAGTTAAGAAGTCCAAATTTTTTCTTGTTCCAAATATGATAACACGGTCGGGAACCTGACACACATGATAAATAAATAAGCAATTATAATTAAGTGTTTCTTATCGGGCAGCTTATCGCAATAAAAATGAAGGATTTAGTTATATTTGTTCAAAAAATTTATAGAAAATCTTACAGGACCATCATCATGAAGTATGAAATCCTCATATTTATCTGTAATTGAATATTCATGCGGAATTACCAGCTCAATAAGGCTGCTAGGATTCGGAGGTGCAAAACTGTTGGAACTCCGCGTTCGGTGAATTATACGTTTCATAAGATTCGGTGATGGTAGTGCCATTGATATGTAATCACTTAATTGAGATACGTGTTTCGCCACAATAAAGTTTGGAGTTTCCATAGTATTATTCAAAGCTTCATTCTTAATTGAATTGATTATTTTCTTGGTTTTCATTTCGATTGGATTTTCTGGATGATTGTGTATTTCTTTATTATCTTTTATCTTACCATTTTTTTTTGTAAGTCGTACGGAACATTTAAAAATATCCTGATTAATGCATCTATAATAATTAGTATCTGAGACTACTTTATCCAGGCGGAACAAATAATTTTTAAAGGTTAAGATCTCCTTATTTTTGCTTGATAACATATTTTATAAGACTCCGAAATAAAGAGGAAAGAATGGCGAAAATATTTATAATTTATAACCAAAGGAATGGCACCAGCCAGACGAGAAATTTTTTTTTTTTAAATTTCGGCAATACTTTTTTTTAAAATAGTTATAATTTATCAAATATGTCATTAATTATTTGTTAATTTTTAGTGTAGCTATTTTTTTTATTATATTTTAAAATTATTTAAAATTCAATAAGAACCCATATCAAAATATTTTATTTAAATTAATTGAAATTAATGCCGAGATATTATAATAAAAATTTTATCACGCCCCCTTCCCCCCCCCCCACCCCTTTTTAAATTAACAGAAAAGATAAAAAAGATATCTATAAAGATCGTAAAATAATAAGATTAATAAATATTTTAAATTGGGGAAATCCCTTATTTCACTTAGATGTAATTTATTTTTGAATTGCCATTCAAAATTGATATTCTAAACAGTAATGTTGTAGACTTTATTCATCTACACTGTTTAAGAATAGTGACTGCCAAAACCACGGTTGTGCATTTGACCGGTCAAATATAGTTAAAATCAAATAAATATTATTTTATATTGAATATTATCATTTTCTTTAATATTTTTTAATCAATTTTCTTTTTGTCTAAATCTTCAATCGATTTCTGTTTTAGTAAGATTATTGACACAAATCGACCAATTTCTTTCTGAAGAAGAAGAAGATCTAGGAATTGTTAGTAATGTCGCTTCTCTTAATGGCCATGGTGGTCAAAGCTAATTCCACTGCTTGAGATTAAAATCTGATTGTTTCTTATGGAAGTTACTGCTATCCCCATGATTTTCTATTAAACAAGCCGCTTTTATTTCTGAAATTTATGATATAACTTGAAATATTTTGATCACCACCTTGTATCCTAATTCTTTTATTATATTACATACTTCATTAAATTCACTATGATTAAAATGCTCTCCTTAATATTAGGAACTCAATAAGCATTGTGATCACATTTCACATGTATTTATATCGTTTTTTCTTTTTCAAACATATTTTTATATTCAGATCTTATAGAATATATGACCATTTGACCAGGTCTCCCGTTCAATTGACCCGTCAAAATCTAGTCATTAGACTGGTCAATTGACTCACTTGCTAACCCTGGCCAAAATTGATTGATAAATTTATAAATATTAAGTCATCAGACAATAAATAGGAATGCTACCCAGATATCAATTTCGCCAGTAAATATTAAGATTTAACTAATAAACTCAATGATTAATATATTGATAAAGCTGAGTTCCTTGTGCGCGATTATATAAAATAAGAACTTCGAAGAAAAGGATAGGATAGCGAAAAAAGTGTATTTCAATAACAAATTTCATAAACCAGATTTAAGTTTATTAATCATTATATAAATTTTTTAAGGTTAAAAGAAAATTACAAACTATGTAAATTAAAAAAATATTATTCAAATAATATAATTATAAAAAAATGATTCAAAATAAATTAGTCATTATTAGCAATTATCGCGATATTAAATTCTCTATAATAATAAATTAGTCATTATTAGCAATTGTCGCGATATTAAATTCTCTATAATATCTTCGCGATATATGTTTCGCGAAATAATTGTCGCTACATTGTCTTTGCGATTTGGGTTTCGCTATTATTGATTCGCGATTAAAGTTTCGCGGTAATGTATTCGCTTTAAAGGTTTCGCGATAAAGTTTTCGCTATAAAAGTTTCGCGGTAATGTATTCGCTTCAAATGTTTCGCGATAAAAGTTTTGCTATAAAATTTTCGAGATTATTGATTCGCGATAAAAATTTCGCGGTAATGTATTCACATTAAAGGTTTCGCTATAAAAAATTCGCGATATTTGTTTGCTATATTGTATTCGCGGTAATGTATTCGCTATAAAGGTTTCGCGATAAAGGTTTCGCTATAAAAAATTTGCGATATTTGTTTCACGATATTACATTCGCGGAATAGTATTCGCTATTATGGATTCGCGATAAAAGTTTCGCTATAAAATCCATTCGCGATAAAAGTTTCGCTGAATTGACATGGAACCAAATTAAACAATGTTTTTAATTACAAAGTAAAATAAATTCTCATAAAGGGGGAGCTTTCATAAAAAACGCAATATATTTTAATTATGTAGAGACTTAAGGAAAAAATTCTGTACCCCCCCCCCCCCCCTTCCCACCCACCCCGCCTACCTTTCCTTTTATTCGATGCTTTAGGCATTACAATTTAAAAGAAATAATTGTAATTTACTATAATTACATCCAAATCGATTCATTTTTTTTAAAAAAAAACTACAATATTTACAGGACTGACTATGCAAAAATATTTTTTAAATATTTCATTATTATATTATAAAAAATTATTATAATTATTTGTTTATCTCATTAATTAATTTTTTTTCCAAAGAAAAGAAAATGTCAAACAGGCTAGAATTTTTGGATAAAAGTTTCGTGGAAAATGGGTTGACGCTTTTGAAATTCGTTATGGAATATCATAATAATATCAGGAAATTTTCTGTCAGGCCAACGCCAGCATTGAAACCAGGATATTTGAGGAACATTCTGCCTTCAAAGGCTAACGATCAACCTGTGGATTTTGCCAACTTGTATTCGGATATAATTAACATAATTTTGCCTGGGGTATATAATATTGTATTCTATATTTAGATAACTCTGGAAAAATAAAAATTAAGCCATTAATAATAATAAATCCTTGATCTGGTCACCGGACAAGATTAGATTATTTTGTTTATGATTAATTTAAAATAAAGAAAATATTCTCTAATGTGAATATTTTGACATGGTCTGAAAATGAACTTGCTCCATATGTATATTTCTCTATTTTTTTTGTAGATCGTGCACTGGCAAAGTCCGAAGTTTCATGGATTTTTTCCTGCTGGGTGCTCATACCCCTCCTTATATGCTGATATAATATCTGCAGCCTTTAGCTGCATAGGCTTTAATTGGGTAAAATAATATATTCATTTTGTTTAAAAAAACAACAACATCTTTGTTGATCCATAAATCCAGAAACTATCTCTTAATCAATTACAAAGCTGTTTTTTAAAATAACTATCTCTTTAAGAATAAAGAAAAAAGATTAATGATTATAATATTATATAGAATATTATATTTGTATGTATTTTATAGACTGCGAGTCCCATATACACGGAATTAGAAATAGTAATGGTTGATTGGATGGCGAAAGAAATGGGTCTTCCAAAAAAATTCCTGTTTGAATCAAAGTCAGGAGGGGGAGGTATAATTCAGGTGATTTTATTTATATATTAATTAGATGATAATTATATTTCGTTGTTTTATAAAATGTTTACACCCTTTACTTCTACTCAAATTATCAAAGATTTTTGCTGTCTCAAATGATAAAACTTAGAAATAAGAGCATTCCAATAACCCAGAAATAAAATTGTAAACCAATCATAACTTATTCATGGTAATGTTTCCATTTGAAAAAAAAAATGAGTTGGCATTAAAAATGGATTATACTAAGAAAAAAAATTATAAAGGTTTAAGTTCTGTTTAGATTGAGGATTAAAAAATTTAAAGGTTCGGTTCAGGACTCAAGGAAACCCTCCCCTTCATGATCATGCGTTATTATTATACTACATTAGGAAATTCATTTTAAATTCCGCGTTTTGTTTTAATCACGGCCCTAACTAAGAATTTTCGTGATAAGAGGGTGGGTGGGTGGGAGTATTTCCTAGGATCGTATAACGTCATTACCATAAACTATATATTTTTTCATTATATTGCGAAATTCTTTTCGCAAAGGTATTATAGCGAACTCGTCTCCAATCCTGCAGAAAATAATTAGTAGAAAATTCATAGAAGGATCCCCCCCCCCCATTACGGAAATCCTGGAGCATCCATTTAGATCTAGATAATTTATTATATCATACATCTTTAGATTAAAAATGTAGCATGCCAATGAAATACTTAATAATATCGAAGTCGATTGAAAAAATTGGATCGGTACATCTCTAAAATTTTAAGAAAATTTAAAAAAAAAGTAAGTAGAGCGATTTTTCATTGGGCTTATTTTTACTATATTTGCTTTATTTATATATATTGAAGATGTCAAAAAAAAACATACAATTCAATTATTTTATTTTTATAAATAGTTTTACGAATGATTTACCCTAAATTTTTTTTCAATTTTAGTCAAAATCACATTTCGTATGAATGATGATTTGAAACTTCTAAAATTGATATTCTCATTTTAAATAAAAACATAAGTAGAACTAGAGCCCTGTGAGTGGTCCATCTAGTTAATTTCAAAAAATCGAAACGGGTAGAGCTAGAGTTATACGAAAAATTTCTTTAATTAAAATGTTTCCCTCATTTTATTTCCAAAAAAAAATGAAAATTAGAATTTCTTGTGATTAGGACAAAGCATTAACTCATTTTTATTATACATTTATTTTATAGAATAGAACATAGTTTAATTGTTACATTTTAATTAAAAAATTTTATGTCGGGCTAAGGGGCCTAAAAAAATTAAAATCTTGGGTGGAGAGAGTCTTTGACTGAAAAAAAAAATTTCCAAGTTGGACAGAGCAACTTCAATATGAGGCGACTGAATATCTACTCAAAATTTGTATAGTATATATATGCGAATTAATTTATTATTGTTTATTAACTAACAAAGGGCTCAGCAAGTGAAGGGGTTACGGTATCGATAATAGCTGCTAGAGAGAAAAAAATTTCGGAAATTCTTGAAGACTCGTCTCAAAATCTTACTTACTATGAAATTTTATCCAAACTAAGGGCCTATACATCTGATCAAGTTTTCATATTTACTTTTATTTATGGTTTTGGGTATATACAATTTTCAAATTTTATTATTAAATATTTGAACTTATTCCAGAAAAAAAAGATATTTAAATGTTTTATAAATTCTATAATATTATGTATAATTAATTGTCAATATATTTTTATTAAAAATAAATCGGCTAGACCCATTCATCAGTAATAAAATCAGCTCGGATGAGTGCTGTAACGATGACCATAATTGAATCTGAAAGTGATTTGAAATTAGGAGAAGCTCGTTTGCTAGAACATATTAAAAGAGACACAGATCAAGGCTTAATCCCATTTTTTGTAAAAGCAAATATAAAATATTTTAAGATTTTTATTAGTAATTTACATATTAAATAATATGTTAGCTGGCGATAGTGTTGTTAAAGAGCTCGATTTGAGCCTATTTTTAAAAACGGCTAACTCAATATTTTACCCAGAAAAATTACTAAAAACTGAAGATTTTACTTATGACAAAGGTTTGGACATCTATTAGCCAAACCTAGAGGCTTAGACAATATTTTTCTGGCTAAAATATCGATTTAGCGATTTGTAAAAATCGGCTCAAATCGAGTCGTTTGACAACACTAGCGGGTGACAATGTGTTCCGGCAGTGTTATTTGTTCAACTTTAAATTATTTTTTGAGCCCGTTTTATTTTAATTTTACCTGATTTTACAGGAAATGTATTCCAACATCTTTGGAATCACCTACCTTATAAATACTAGATCATTTTGTCATGAATTTTTGAACTTAATATAATTTCTATTAGTTTTTCCATATATTATAAATTATAAATTACATAAAGGTTTCTAAATTTCTTAGGATAGGTATTCTGATATTCTAAACACGCTGGAATTTTCACTAAAATTGGATTGTTAAATTTAAAAAAACGTGCTCAAAAAATGATTTAAAGTTGAATAAATAACACACATCATCGGAAATCAAATATGAAATATTATCTTATTTTTTATGAAGCTTTAGCCAGAGCACGCTACTTTGCTTTGAAAAGTCGCTTTATTAATTGAAATAATCATTAAATTTTAAGTTTTACTATTGAAATTTAATTTACAATTCTTAAATTGGATTATATTTTGAATGATATTATGTTCCTACTTGAGAATATTAAAAACTGAATTTGAGAAAAAATAAATAGACTAATGCACAAATGAATCATTACCACAGCATATCTATTTATAATCTAGATTTACTATTATAATGGTATATGCATAATATTCCCTAATTAATATTCGAAAATATTTATTTTTAGTTTAACTTTTATATAATGATAAATCAAAGTAATCGTCCTTAATAAATGTACTTTTATAATGCTAAATTATAGTTAAAATGATTATTCAATCTAGTAGAATGGCACTTTAAAATAACTTAATGTTAACTAAAATATAAATGATATATTATTCAAATATACATAATATATCCATAAATGAACAATATAAAAGATATAAAACGATAACTATTAGTATTAAGAGTTTGTATAGAAGTAATTTTGGCCTAATTAATTTTTTTTCAATCGTGCTACCTCCCCTCCTCATTTGCAGTTAAAATCTATATTTAAGGGACTGACTATGAAGTATGAACAGTTCTGGCATTACATTTTATTAATCTTAATTTTAAGCTGAATAATTTATTTTGAAATTAGGTGGCTGTTAACATTGGTACAACAAATACTTGTGCGTTTGATGATGTTGAAATTATTGGAAAAATATGTGAATATCAATATACATTTTTTCTTAATTCATTAACTGTGACATCAAATTTAATTTTAAAAAATATATTATATATAATATATTTTTTAAATTCAATCGCATACATAGGTCAAGATCGCAAAATTTGGCTTCATATAGATGCTGCATATGGTGGAGTTTTATTTTTTCTAGAAGAATATCGTAAAATCCTTCCTAAAATTGATGTAAATTTGTTCAGTATATAATTTTAACAATAATAATTAACTCTATATTCTATGTCGTAGGGCATGGAGGAATTCAAGATATGTAGAAATATTTAAAATTTAAATCATTTATAAAGGACGCGTGGCCTTATTTTTTTAAGCCAAATAGCATTCAACCATGAGTATAGTATCTAGCTAGCTAACCGATGAATTCCAGTTAAATTTTTCCATAAAATATGGATTGACTTTAATTAATGCCATAGACTTGCAAAGGTCGAATTTTTAGACCCGGCCAGACTTGATTATTCTTATTTTCAAACCAAATCTTTTTTAAAGATATTTTTAGTTATGACCGGGTTTCAATTTTTATGCCCGGCACGGCTTTTTTTTTAAATTTTAATAATCTTTACGACTCCTGCTCTAATTTTTAAAATTTCGTCATCCTAAATCATTTCGAATGTATTTTATGAATATGAATGGCAAATGAATGTTAAATGATCTATTATATAAGTTTCCAATTTTATTTAATTGATAAAAATTAGATTATATGGGTTTAGGGGGGAAAGTAATTTTTAAACCTAACCTGAGTGTGCAATTTTATTTTTAAGCCCTATCCGATTCGATTTAAAAAAGTCTATTATATATTCTATTCCAGATCGGGTTAGCAAATCTGACCGGGTTTCAATCGACATGGCAGGTCTCTGATTTATATAAAAATATGGGGAAAAAACGATTTAAATTATTCAAAAGTTTACTAAGAAGTTATCTGAAATTTAAGAGTTGGTGCCACTCACATTCCGGAGTACAAATTCTGCAAAGTTAAGTTTCTAAAAATATTTTTAAAAAATAAGTGTATCATAAATGATTTAAATTGTAATGATCTCAAATGAAAATACACTGCTAAATAAGGTTAAAATAATATTTCATAAATAGAAAATCGTATGACAATAATAATTTTTTAAATTATAAAATGTAAAGTGTGATTATTAGGCGTTCGTCAAATTATACAAACTTCAATAAATTTATGACAAATATATATTTAATTGCATTCCTTTTATAAAAAAGAAATTTATAGGATTTACCAATTAATTTTTTCGGAAAATAACAACTATCTTAAAACATTTTAAAATTTTAATTTAAGAAAACTTTGGAAACCAAAAATTATTTTTTATATATCAATTATTAACCTTAATAATTTTAATAAAAGTTGACACAATCGCTCACCTTTAATCCTCACAAACTGATGGACGTATGTTACGATTGCTCTATATTATGGTATCAATATCATTTTATCATTATTTATGACCTTTTAAAGAAAAATGACAAAATTAGTTACATTTCAAGTAAGATAACTATGCTATTGCTATGCAACTAGCTATTAGAAAAGATAAATTTTTAATATAACTGGTTGCTTTTACACAGTAACTTTAACAATACTAGAAGCCCCATAAATTTTATTTTACCTTGTAAAAAAAATTCGGGGTATATCTATATCTCTCACTCCATTTACGCTACTAAGGAAAATAAAATAAACGGACAATATTATTATTAAAATTCGCCTTGATCATTTAAAATCAATTCTGTTATTATACAAAACTTATCTTTTATTTTTAACACAAAAAAATATTAGTTATATTTTGTAAATTACAAAGGATAGAAGATGGCAACCTATTGAAATCAGCCCTAGGTATAAATCCTGCATATTTAAAAAATGACGTAGAAGCCATTGTTGAATTCAAGGTTTAATTTTTATTTATAAATAAATATATCACATATTTTTTAGATATAATATATACCTTATTTTAAATATATAACTTTTTTAAATTGCTAATTTGAATGTTATTTGAAAATATCGAATTATTTTGAAATAAATTTTTCTATAATTTTATTTAACTTTACTCTAAATAATTTTAGCATTTTTATCAGTTTAACTAAACATATTATTATTTTAATGTAATCTGAGGCACGAGGAGAAGGGGGTCAATAAATTTTTTGAGGTGCCAAACTTGGCCTCAAAATTGGTTCTAATGTCTTTTAAATATTAGTCTCCAAATAACCCCCCCCCCCCCCAACCTTTATGAATAACTTATGCCTTATATTGTAATGTTTTATCTAAAAGAGATTTTACTCAATATTAAATGTCCTTCAATCTTCTTCAAAAATTGTAATTTATTTTGATATGAATTGTATTTATATAATTGCGATTACATTTTTTGGAATTCCTATTTGTGGATAATTTCCCAAAATAGTGATGGCAAATAAAATATGCATATTTAGTTTTTCAATAATAATATAATAATACTATTCCTTGAAACCAGGGGCGGACTGGAGACGCTACGGCCTCGTGGGCATTTTCTTTATAGCGGCCTCATTTTTCGGCCGGGTAACCATAAATGGCTTATTCGAATTACATGATTTTTATTATTTCTTATTTTTGAAAATCAGTTCAAACGATTTACATTTTTAATAAAAAAATGAATAGCATGACACGATAATCATATATTATATTTTAAAAAATTGCAAATCTAAAATCATATTCATTGCACATAAAAATATTCATTGCGCATACATTTTATATTAGATTTACAAAGATAATCAAATCACATCACATGTTAAATATAAAATAACATACTCAGTATATAAAATCAAATCTTACACCACATGTTAAACATAGTAACTACTTTAATTATACATATAAAATTATTTCATTAAATAATATTGTACAAAGAATAAAATTGCTGCACTTATATAATCAGGCACCGATCATATTGTGAATAGATATACAGGATTTCCCATTGAAAAAAAAGAAGTTTCAATCATAAAAGGAAAAGGCCCGTTTAAAAAAGGAAAAGGGTCAATCATAAAAGGAAAAGGTCCAATCAAAAAAGAAAAAGACCCTATCAAAAAGGGAAAAGTGTCAATCAAAAAAGGAAAAGTCCCAAAGATTTAGGAAAAAGGTCCAATATAAAAAGGAAAAGTGTCAATCAAAAAAGGAAAATTCCCATTTCGCTATTATTTAAAATTTTCCTTGTCAAATTTTCTTAAATTTTTATTTATTTTTATTATTCCTTCTTATTTTATTTCTAATTTTTTGCGATTTCTTTTCTTTATTTTCTTACTATCTTTTCTCAATTTATTTTTCTTCACTTTATCTTTTTAAAAATAATTTGTAAATTTTCCGTTATTTATCTTCACTTTTAAGCTCCATTTTTTAAACAATTCTTTGCTTTTTTTTCATCTTACATACAATATTCTTTTTATGATCTTTTTTCCTTACATTATAATCTTTTACATACATTTCTAACCTTTTCAATCTCTTTAAGTCATTTATTTTTTTGATCTTTTCTCAATTTTTTTTCTTCTTTGAAAGTAGTGATACTCTTTTAAAGCTATACCTAAATCCTGAGAGTAACCTTGATACCTTATTTTATGATATTTCCAAATCATATCTTTCTTTATCATTTCACATAACCTTTTTAAGAATAAAGTACAATCCAAATTTATAAAATTTAATATATATTCTTCCTGTTCTTCATTTAATTTCTTACGTGCACGTGAACCTCCTTTGGGTAAACTATATTTTATTCTATTTTGAGATGTGAGTATTTAATATTTGTCAGTCTTAAAGCTTACTTTAAAACATGATGCTATATTTTTGGGTTACATGTCAATACCGCGAAAATTTTAGCGCGAAATGTATTATCGCGAATGTCGATTACGCGAAAAGATATAATAGCGAATGCATTACCGCGAATGCATCATAGCGAAAACAGTATCGCGAATGCATTATACGCAAAAAATTACCGCGAATGCATTTCAGCGAATGTATGACCACGAATGCATTATCGCGAATGCATCATAGCGAATGTATTAGAGCGAAGACATTATCGCGAATATAATATTGCGAATGCATTACCGCGAATGCATTATAGCAAATATGATACAGCGAAAATATTAAAGCGAATGCATTAGCACTAATATAATACCGCGAAAGTGTTATCGCGAATGTATTATAGCGAAAGCATTATCGCGAATGCATTGCAGCAAAAGCTTTACCGCAAATGCATTATAGCGAATGCATTATCGCAAATGTATTACCGCGAAAGCATTATCGCGAATGTATTATAGCGAATGAATTATTGCGAATGCATTATCTTAAATGGAGTTTGATGAAAATTACTTTTATATTTATCAGCCTTTAAGACAGACTTGGTTGAACCTGGAAATTAATTTTTTTGAAAATAGGGCTAAGGCTTTTAATTTTTTTAACTCAAAATATATAAAAAAATTCTAAGCAATAAATAGATTTTTTAGGATTAGGGTAAAGAAATTATTTTTATATTAATTTATTGTTTAAATATGTATTTAGTTATATTTTTCAATTAAATTTAGGACAAGAAGACCTAAAATTTAAAATAAATAAAGATTTTTGATGGAGTTTCTGCTGAAATAAATTAAATTTGCAAGGTGCTAAGGAAAGTCTTATTTAAAACATTGAGCCCAACAGATAATTAGCCCTCGAAAATCATTTATATTTTAATTAGTGAGGGATTAGTATTGTGATAAGCATTTTTGGACAAAGTTTATCACAAGACATGAAACAATATTCAGCATGATAAGATTGTAGAATTGAATGGCTACACATCTTAGAACTTAATTCATTTAATCTCTGATGATGAGATTGCGATTATTGTGACTCAGGAATTGGGAAAACAATATAATAATGATTTCCTATTGATTCTTGTGATTCCTTATGGGTCTTTTTTCTAGTTAATTTTATAAATGGATATAGAAACATATTAAAAAGTTTTAAAAGCAAGCTTAGACGGATATCATATTAATTAAATAATCAGAAGCGAACTTGCTATGATGCATTTGCGATAATTCGCTATAATGCATTCGCGATACTGTTTTCGCTATGATGCCTTCGCGATAATGCATTCGCGGTAATGCATTCGCTATAATATCTTTTCGCGGTAATGCATTTCGCGGAAAAAGTTTCGCGGTATTGACCTGATACGTATTTTATCGCCCAGCGTTGAATAAATTTTTTTAAGATTATTTTATCCATTTTTTTATTCAAGGGTATTCCGAGAATTTCTATGATGGCACCTGGCTTATTATTTGTTTTAAACTTAAAGCTATAAAATTAATGATTTTGACGATTACAATAGATTTAATAAGATGGAGGTCTAATCAATGCAATGTTCCCCTTCATCTTATCTTATTTAAAAATTTCTATGCCTCCAAATATGGCTGGAGGTGGGGAGGGGGAGTAGCTATATGAACCATTTATTTTTTAAAAAATATTTATTAAAAATTTAAATTATATTATATTTATAGATAAAAAAAAAACTTTTTACTATAATAAATAGAAAAAATTATCAACATGTTTTTTTCGCGCTGGATGGATAGGGTTAATCATATGAATAACTAGAGGCTATTAGAATCAAGGCTAGCTGAATCAATTAAATTATGCTTAAAAATATGATATAATCAGTATTCATTGGCTACTATTATAGCTTTAAATTAATTTTATATGATAATTATTATAATTAGAAAAAAAAATTTAAAATATAATTAAAAACTTAAACATTTTTTAAATTTAATAAAATGTCATATTTTGACATTTTTATATGAATTATTTAGATGCAAATGATGTATTATATCAATAAGACATAGTCCATAAAAAATAGAAGAATAATAATTATAATCATCTATGTAAGAGACTTAATAAACCAATGGAATCTACAAGCCCCGGGTTTGGGGCTTGTTGGGGAAAAATTTAACTTTTATTAGAATCAATAAAATATTAAAAATATTTATTAATGTATAACTTAGGTCAGGCGCGTAAGCAGGAATTTGGTCTGGGGGGGGGGGGATAATAAATTTTTTAAAGAAATATTATTGTTATTTAAAAATATCAAGCATAAATTTATTATGACTAATAACTATTTCTAATACACAATTTTAAATTATATGAATTATAAAAAATATATATATAAACCGGCACATAAAAAACTATAAAATAAATGTGAATTAAAAAATATAAAGTGAATATAACCACCATATGAATCACTTAAATGACCCAAAATAGAAATTTGAATATTTTGTTGAGCCTTTAAAATTTATATATAAAGTAAAAATTTTTAATGTTGTACTATTAATATTAATACACAAAAAGTTTCTTAGGAATAATTGTATTTTGTATTATATTTACAGTGTAAAATCCAATTTTCGTTGGAATTGAGCTAATTTTTCAATTACTCATCCTTGCTTGGCGTCAAATGCTTATAAATATTTAAAAGATCCAAACCATTCAATCCACTTTCAGAAGTTGTACTTCTTAGGTATGTTTTCAGAGAACTGCAGGCCCGGTTCCCGGGTCAGACCGTATTTTAATTTTTTAAATACACCCGGGCAGGGCCCGAAATTTTTAAAAAAAAACACCCGAGCCAAGTCTGATTTTTTTTAAAAAAAATTATCCGGGCTCGGCTATATATTTTAAAACCAAATATTTGAAATTAACTATAAAAATCAAAAATAAATATAATTTCTTTAAAAAAAACCCGGGCCGGGCAAAATTTTGAAAAAAAATCCAGGCCGTGCCCTGGAAATTGTATTTCTGCAGGGCTCTGTTATTCTTCTTAAAAAGAGAATGTTCTCTCATTAGTTTACTAATGGGAAAAGTTGCTAATATATATAATATATATATAATCATTTTAATACATTGGGAATAA